TATTTATGATAATGCAGTGCCCCTATTTATGCTTGTAGTTTGTAAAGGCTAAAGCAGATGCTTGCACAAAATGGATCATCACCATTTTTATTTCTTGCACAAATGTCCTCATAAAAATAATAGTTTGAACATTCAACTTAATTAAATATCATCACAAATGTAAGCCATTAGATAATCAAAACCTGTTTCCATTGACTGCCAAAAGATTTCTTCACATTTTTCTTAAGATTATGTAGTTTTTCCTTTCCTTCAAACCTTGTAATGGATATGGATATTTTGTAACTTTGTAATTCACTACTTATTAGTTAACAGACAAGAAATTGAAGACAAAACCATCTCATTCAGAGCATGTGTTGATAGGGTTTAAAAGAGAAGATTGAGTTAATTGATTTGTGGCATGTGGAGCGAGTTGGAAATTTAATTCTTACCTCTTTTAAATATAGAAGAGAAAAAAAAAATTCAATCATGGATCTTCCTTGCTATGTGACACGAACCAGTGATTTTCCCATTTTTCAACAAAGGGTTTGGAGTTAAAGATGAATTAAGCATGACCCCATCATTGATAAAGATTAGGCAGCAGGAATGGTAGCATAAATTCTGGCTTCCATGTTTTGCGTGTTTCACTTTACTCTCTCTTAAAGGGATGCAGCATGACATATTAGGTGAATGCTTTATTACATTAAAAAAAGAAAGAAAGAAAGAAAGAAAGAAAGAAAAAAAAGAGTTGTGTTCTGGCTCAAGTCTTGCTGTCATTGTGATCATGTTTCCAGTGTAACGCTTTCAACATCATGTTTATCTGATTCTTGATATTAACATTAAGTCCTCACTGCAAATCTGTTTTGAGTTGCATGTTATAGCTCTTTCTAGATTTTTCCAAATCAAGATTAGTTAGTCTGAAAAATGAATCAAACTTTGAGATTCATCTCACTATTATCTTAAATTTCAACTAGAATGGCTCTCTACCTGTTAGCAGCAATATGTTGCACTGTTGAAACCCTAGCTATCCTGTGAAAGGAGTTCAACTATGGCTCAAGCATTTTCATTTTTCTAATACCCCGTTATATATCAATCTTGTTATTTTAGTACCTATATATAGAAATGTTGATCAAATTAACAAAGTAAGAAATGTGATTGCTAATTATGAGATTAATTATGTTGATCAAATTAACAGACTGTCATGTGGTCTTTGATCAATAACCTATGAATTGTGAAGTATATATTTTATGTACTCGTACTTTGTTAGCTTGAATCCATTTGAGTGCTACAAAGATTTAGCTTCCTGGGTTTTCATTGCAAGCAGATTTCCATGCACAATGGACATAATAAAATGTGATAATGGAGTATTGGAAAATGTCAAGAGAACTAATTTGGTGAAATTCAGCACTAGGGTTGCACCAAATCATCACTTTTTGGTGCTGATTTTCATTGAAGCTTTGGAATGACAGTATATCTGGGTCAAGCATTCATGGATCTTTTCTCTGTTATTTCATAGGTTGCTTAGGAAACAAACACTAAATTTATTTTAGAGTACTGATCGACCACATAATATAATGGAATTTATATATTTCTTTTCTCTTTTTTTTTTCTGAGAAATTTTAAGTTCGTTGAGTTTCACTGTATTTTATGACATTCTTGTATAAATCCATGTTTGAATATATGATGGTTTCTCTATTTGGTTAGAGTTTTTTGGTTAAATTATTAAGTGAATTTTGTTTGTCAGCAGTGGCCATAAAAAAAAGGAAGAATTACCCCTCAAAACCCTAATTCGGCAACTCAGCTGCAATAACCCAAGTAACGGTGATTGAATTCGCCCCCTTGCTTTGGTTGCTTGTGCCTATATGGCGTATTTGGATGGAAATGCAGAACCTGGTGAAGGTATGTGTACTATTGTTTGAATTTTGTATATCTGTTTCCATTGTGTGCACTGTAACTTTGTAACATTGTTCTTTTGCATTTCCAGTTTGCAACTTCTTCCGGAAGCCATTGAAGAAGCAAAACATTAGAAAGCGAAGGGTTGATGAAGATGAGGAGGAGGAGGACTCAAAATCGGGGGGTACATCATTACCAAGTCAAAGAAAAGCCTCAAAGCTTGATGGCAAGCTGTATTTTTCTAGTGGACTCTCTAAGAGCTCTACGCCTGATAGCAGTGCAATCTTCGAGTTCAAGTCTTCAAAAGAAATCCAAGTTGAACATGATAGTAAAGCAACTGCGACTTTGGAGACTGAGACTGAGTTCTCTAGAGATGCCCGAGCAGTTCGTGAGAGAGTTCTTAAGCTGGCGGAGGAGGATTTGAAGGGGAAGAGCAAAGGTTCTGGGGATGAAAAGTTGTATAAAGGGATCCACGGATATACTGATTACAAGGCTGGGTTCCGAAGAGAGCTAACAGTGGCCAGTGAGAAAGCGGGAGGTTCCCATGGGCCTCTCAGGGCTTCTGCTCACATCAGAGCTACCACAAGATTTGATTATCAGCCAGACATATGTAAGGATTACAAAGAGACTGGCTACTGTGGGTATGGAGATTCATGCAAGTTTATGCATGATCGTGGAGACTACAAGTCTGGGTGGCAGATGGAAAGGGAGTGGGACGAAGCAGAGAAAATAAGGAAGAGAAATTTAGCGTTGGGTGAGGATGATGTGGACCAGACAGAGGAAGATGATGTTGATGATGATGAGGATGGCTCATTGCCATTTGCATGTTTCATCTGCCGGCAACCATTTGTTGATCCTGTTGTGACTAAATGCAACCACTACTTCTGTGAGCACTGTGCACTAAAGGTGAGTTCTCTTTCTTAATGTATCATCTTAACTCCTGTGGCTGCGATAGCTCAATGGAATTCAATGTCGTTTTTGACTTGTGGATCAAGTATAATAGTCATTGTGTTTCAATGTTGAGTTTCTTTTAAGCTTTTTCTAACATTAATCTGCTTTTTCATTTACAGCATCATTCAAAGAACAAGAAGTGCTTTGTGTGCGACAAGCCTACTCTTGGCATATTCAATACGGCTCATGAGATACGCAGAAGGATGGCTGCAGAGGGCAAGTAACTTCCACTACATTCACTTATTGAACTCTTTGCTTTCAAGGCATGTGAGCAGGAAAATTTCCCCACTCCCTGGCCAAGTTTTGAAGAGAAAGTGTGAACAGAGGGAGAGGATGGTGATAGTGATTGATAGTATGCAGTTTGGTATACGATAAGGAAGGTATACCTTTACTATGACATACTTTATGGGTATATAATACACCACATTTTGATACCCTTTTGGAGCTGGAAGGCTTGGCTAATAGAGAAAACAATGTCGTTTAGGTAGGAACTGCAATTGTCAAAGTTTGGAGGTAAATTTTTTGGGCATGGGTCCTTTTGTCTGAAGCCTGCAATTGAATTTGGGAACATATGCAGTGTGAGAATTAAATTTAGAGTAGTGGGAATGTTTGTAGGGCCTTTTGAAGATTGCTTAAAAGGGTTGATCCTTGAGTGTTTCCAAGCTTGAATGGGGAAAAGAAAATTTCCTTTTTCATGTTTTGTGAAGAGATGGAATTTTGGCTACAAGCTGGGTGATTGCAGAATTTCCTACAAATCTCCCAATATGCGTGTGGGTGGTTGTTCATAAGTGCCTGGATTTCGCATTTTGGTACCAATCTGAAATGAGAAGTTTGGCGGAAATCTGTTGCCTTTTATTACATTTCTTACACATTTCATTCCATATAAATTTGCGTACTGAAATCCTGTGGTGGTATCCAACGTTTCTCCCATGTTGATTAGTGGAAACTAGTTTACTGGATTAGCAAGTGTAATTGCCAATGAATTTATACTGAAGCTGGCCCTTCATTGTCCTTGCAATTCTCCTACTCTTATGGATGTATTTTCGTTCATTCCGCTAGTTTCGCTTGGAAATTCTCGTACTCTTATAGATGTTTTATTTCGTTCATTCCACCAGTTTTGTCAATTAAAATTGAAATTGGAAACGTCATTTTTGTCCAAACACTTTTAAATAAGTGAAATTAAAAACATAAAACACAATTTGAAAAAAAAAAGACTAAAAGAAGTACCCTAAAGAAAGAAGAAGAAGAGAAGATGATGAGTGTACAAGAAAAGGGAGAGGGACACGGTAACTAATGTGAATGCACGCACACAAAATCCCATCCTTCATAAGACACGTGTCAGCGAAAGGGACGAGTCTTAGCAGGTGGTCACATCCGTTGCGTTGATTTGTGCCTGCAAACACGTATCAGCCTTTCCCGGGCAACGGCACACTCACTCCCGCGTAGACCTTTTATCTACCTGAAATCAACACAACGCCACGTGTCCCAGGGTACGCGCGTCAGCTTTCTACTGCGAGTAGTACGTGTTTTCCCACGCGAGTGAGTATAGAGGAAAGGAGGTTTTGCGTTGTGCAGCGAAGATTAAAACGGCCGAGTAGTGGAACGCGAACGAGCCGACCAATACGGGCCAAGCTCAATAGGTCGTGTGAGTATGGGCCTAAGCCCAAGCTGACCTCAAGGGCTTGTTTGGTACCAAGATATTCCTGGGATAGTCGTATTTTTGACAACATTGTAAATAAATACACGGTTTTTTAAATTTCCCAATTCCATTGAGTCTTGAAATTGACAACTGCTCATTGAGTCATTAATCAGTTTCCAAAAACTCGTTTTCCTTGGGAACCAAACGGGCCGTAACATAATACACTTGTCTCTGTCTTCTTTATAGAGAAGAGAGAGAGAGTTACGATGTTATTTGGAAAGTAAGACCATGGCAGTCCCGCTTTTCAGACCCTTGAAACTGCTTTTCCTTCTCTATCTTCCTCTGTTTCATTGAAAAAAAAAAAATTATTTCTCTGTTTTTTGTGTTTTCTCTGTGCTCTGTTTTCTTCTTGCAAAAAGACCTTGCTATTTTTGTTGTTGTTGTTCTTCTTGTTTTTTTTGGGTGTTTGAATTGAAGTTTGGTGGGTTATGCTTAAAATGGGTGGGTTTCCTCCAAATCTGAATGATGGTGAACGATGGCTTCCCTCAGACATTTTCCTCAACGAAGTAGCCTCCTCAACCTCCGAACTAAACCCCCACCATTTTCTTTCCATGGACGAGCTCGCCCAACACTTGGCTGCTCTTTCTTTCCTCAGACAACGTCAATGCCTTTCAAAACCTCTGCTACATATACCCATGGAGGTTCTCTCTCTCTCTCTCTCTCTCTCTCTCTCTCTCTCTCTCTCCCACACACACACACAGAGCTAGCTTTCTATGAGTCCTTTGCATGAGTATCTAACACTAACATTGTCTATTTTGTCTTTGCTTGGTTTGCAGCCGTTCAGACCGCCGGTTCAGTACAACCAACTTGGTTCTCTGCCTCAGAGGTCTGTTAATCTCAGCCTCAGTCATGGTCTTGAAGAGAAAGGTCCAAGCTTTCATGGGTATGGGGCTGAACTCCATTACAACAATCAGTTTCTGAAACCGGCTCAACTTCAGGTAAACAATGAACCAAAAAACTTGAACCGGGTTTTCCTTCTTTCTCTGTCATGTATGTATTTATTTATTTATTTTTACTCTTGGTCTGTCTTTTCAAGGCTTTTGCTTTTTCCCAGCTTTCAATAAATGGAGTGGCAGAGTTTCGAGAGTTGCTAATGGTAATGTGCTGTCATTTTTGGCAGGTATGTAGCTTTCTGGAAACTAGGAAGAGGGTTTTGAATAGACAGCAAAACCGCCTTTGGACGTATCAGGGAAGTGGGATTGGATCAATGGGTGGTTTTGAGAGGGTTTCTGGAGGCACCGGTGTGTTTCATCCCAGGGTTTTGAATACCACAACCACCACCAGTAATCCTCAGGTCAAAAATAAACAGGGTGAGTTATTATTTCTTTGTTCTGCTGTTCGAAGTTTTGATTTTGTTCTTTTTTTATTTTCGTCAACTTTTTCCTTATTCTTTTCGTACTTTCGTAATGTCATTTGTATTGATGTGTTTCTGGCACACTTTTGTTTTCGTATCTGTTTTGGTGCCAACTGTGCAAAGTTTTGTGTCAATCTGAAACAAAGGAGAAAAACTTAGTTGCATTGTTATCCCCGACCAAGCAATAATGTTATGACAAGTGGAAGTGTTATCACGCGTGTCATAGCGTTATTAGCCTTTCATGGAAGGTTTTCTCAAAACAAAGGGTGTGTCTTTTATACAAAAATGGAAGTTTTATCCTTTCTTTGATGCTATATATTTCCACTTGTAGTTAAAAGTTTAAATGTGAACATCTTGTTTTTAATTGAGAAAGATTGTTGAGTGGTTCTTCATATGCTTGAAGCACCTTGTTTAGGCAGAATAGTAACCCATTGTTTTATATTTTGGGTGGACCTATTCATTAATGGTAATCTCTATTGGAATATGGACTGATGGGTCTGCTTGTCCATATATATATATAAACTGAGTAATATTGCATGTGCTGACCTCTAGATAGGTTGAATATTTGTTTTCACTGCTTGGAATTAGTAAACAAAATTAGAAATCCATTGAACTGTTTGAATGCTGCATTGTTACATGAAAACTACAAAGCCAAGCCTGGCCGCAGCCCCATTGATCAACGGCTGTCAATTGTGCGTTTCATCCAATACTTTGATCTCAATTTTTCATTTTGCAGTTATTGTTTTCCTTATTGGTTATATGTTTTTGTTGCAGGGTTCAGAAATATCCAGCAGATTAAAGCCATCCAGCAAAGGAAACCTATCGAAAGCGTGGGCATGGGCATGGGCAGGGGCAGAGGGGATTGCTATAACCAGCTTCGTTCTGATGTTGGTTTGCCCCAAGAATGGACTTACTGAAAGCTCTGAGAGGTCACCTTTCTTTGCTATAAAGTAGAGTCTTGTTTCTTGAAATGTTATTAGAATAAAAGCTTCATTGAAGAATAGAAGGTCAGTTGTCGTTTGGGGTTTGTGCAGTAGAACTAAAGAAAATGTAAGAAAGTCCCTAGAAAGTTGTGTTTTTTTCCTCATTTTGTAAGATAGGTTCCCTAGAAAGGTTTTTTTAATCCTCGTTTTGTAAGATAGGCTTTCTTGAAATAAGTAAAAGTTTTAGAAACTTTGTATTGGGAATGAAAAGCTTGTTCTTTTTCTTATATTTATATCACTCCATATTGGACAAAATGAGGTTCAATTATGCATATTGAACAAAATATAATGTGAGAGGCTGATGAAAGTGATTCTGAATACCATTCGAATGAAAAAGAAATGGAGTGAGTAGGAAAAAAAGTGTGTAGAGGAGAAGTTCATTCTCAGTCGATATTCTTCGAAACAAGTTCAATACAAAATGAGACTTCAAAATGCGAAAGTTCATAGGCTTGTAATTCGGTCAGAACGGATCGGAAACAGATATTCTGAATTCCATCCAAAACATGTTCGGAACTGGAAATCAATTTCGATTTCGAAAGTAATTCGGCCAGAACGGATTGGAAACAGACATTCCGAATTCCATCCAAAACATGTTCGGAACTGGAAATCAATTTCGATATCGAAAATTTGGAATATAATTACTCCATTCCGATGCAAAATATTAAGCAATTTCGGAAATTTCGGAACTTCCAGAAATTTTCCATTTTCGGAATATTGGACTAATAATTTCGGAAATTTCCAAATCTTAGATAATAAATAACAAAAAATTTAGAAAATTTTCAAATTTAAATATCTAACGTTGACTAAAAACTTTAAACACTCAAGAAAAATTCCAAGTGGTCCTTATTTAGAAAGACCCAAGAGAGGGTTGGACTTCATGTCTGGGATAACATGGATAAGATATGAAGCATTTTATAGAGGAGAAAAGAGTTGAGATTTGTCTAAGCAGCAGATGTGGGACTGCAACCACTTCATGAAACCAGTGTTCTAACCAAGCCTCTCAAATTAGAGATGTTTTCGAAGCTAAGGAAATTGTTAGGAGTTTGCTCTGTGAAGGATAGTGCTTGAAGACAGAAGCTGTAGTCAATGGCGGACCTAGATTTTTTTTAGCAGAGGTGCAATATTGACTAAGTATGAAAAATAGTTTTTCGGAATAATCATTTTCTCAAGCTAATTTTTTGCGGCTTTTATTCCTTATACATCTAATAAGAAAACTTGATTTTATGGGATTTTAGTATAAAGTACATATTGACTTAATGAGCCATTGTTTTTAGCCTAAATCGTATTTTGCACTAAAACAGATTTTTCATATTTTGATTTGGTGGGAATTTGATTTTCTAGTATTTTTATTTGAATCCAAATTGGGGGGTACTTCTTTATTTACATTGTAAATTTAAGTAAATGGAGTAAAATAAAAATAAATGAAAGTAAAAGGACAAAGACATTTACTTAAATGTTGAAAATGGAAATAAGGTAATCTATATACCAGTTGAGCAAAAGGGCAATTTGAAGCATCTACAATGGTTTTTCCGGCGAGGAGAGGTGTAGCTGCACCTTTTTGCGCCTTAATAGGTCCGCCACTGGTTGTAGTGCATGTTGAAGGTTTCTCGCTAAACTGATTGTTCAAGGAACATTTAGTTTAAGGGAGGGTGTTAAGAATTTATCTAGTTATTGTAGTTGTTTTTAATTAAATAAACTAATTATCCTATTCTATAAGAAGTTATGTTTTACGTTG